CATTTCACATGGTAATTTGCCTTCTCTTAGTTTACCCCCTAAGAACTTTTGTTGAAAATAATCACAAATTCAGGGCTACCTTGTTTGTGGTTGGACTTGACAAAGGAGCTTATTCTTTAAATTGGACAGATGATGAAGAGAGGGACAAGCATGAAGCTGGCACAGAGACAATCTTAGTGAATCTGTGGTGAAAGTAAGGGAAAAGTTTTGGAAGCTAGTGCCACTTGTCTCTCAAGGATATTCTGAGGTTCTCTTGTCATATTCTCCTTTTGCTCTCTCTTCTCCAATGCTGTCGTAACCCCCCACACACAATGTTTTGCGGAGTGCCAGGTTTGAGTATAAACATTTCAAGACCGTTAGCATCTTCTGAATTTATGGTACTGATTGGGACTTTTTCTTGGTATTAAAGCAGCCACCCGCAAAAGAGGGAGTAGGAGCTGTGTGTGCGTGTTGACCTCACACCAATGATTCAGGTAGCTATTGAATTAGTTGTTCAGCTAATTAGCCCTCTACATATAAATAAAATACCTGATTTTTAAATATTTGATGAACTTACAAATTTTGAGTTTGTAGAGGTGTTAAGCATGTTTTGATTTGTTCCAGTAGCCGGATCGAGCTGGGAGATGTGACACCACACAACATTAAGCAGCTGAAGAGGTTAAATCAGGTCATTTTTCCTGTCAGCTACAATGACAAGTTCTACAAGGATGTGCTGGAAGTTGGCGAACTTGCCAAATTAGGTACCATTTTTGTCAGTAGTTTGGGGTGGGTGGGTGGAAGTGTTACCCTCCTCTGTTCTTGATATTTGTAACAGTAGGTTCTCCTGTTCGGTTAAGCAGTGAAAAGATGCTTAGCTGTATGAGACTCACAAGAAACCATAGTCTCTACCCTCAAGATAAGCTAAAGAGGACCTTTTTTGGGTGTAGGAGTGCTGCCCATTACCAGGGGAAGCTCAGGAAGATGTATATGGAAACTCACGCACCCTCCCTCCCCAAGTGTTCACTGGCTGGACTATGGATGTTAAATTTAGATTATTTTAGTAATCGAGTAGGCGATAGAATTTTTATGGACTACTCGATCAGGGAAGGCAGCCCTGTTCACGGGACTAAACCCCGCTACATCTCTGCAATTTAAAAGGTAGTAGGAGTCGGGCAGCTGCCCCCAGCTCCTACTGCATTTTAAATTGCAGAGCCGCAGCTGGGTTTGGTCCCTGACCCTGCATGAGCATGGGATGAGCCAGGCTGCCTGCCTGTCCGGCTCCCACTAAGTTCAGGAGCCAAGTGGGCAGGCAGCCTGGCTCAGTGCCTGCTTGTGCTGGGTTGGGGATCAAACCCTGCTGGAGCTCTGCAATTTAAAATGCAGTATGAGGTATGGGGGGAGCAGTCTGGCTCCTACTTGCCTTTTAAATTGCTGAGCCAGAGTGGGGTTTGGTCTCAGCACAAGATGGGACTAAGTGGGGCTGACTGCCCAGCCGGTAGCACCTCCTCTCTGATGGGGGCGGGGGTCCCGACTTCCTGCTGGGACCCCCGCAGACAGAGGCTGCTGCTGGAGCAACCTCCCTTGCCCTGCTGCCTCTCTGAGGCAGCTGGGGGGTGGGGGAGTGGGGAACTGGCTTAAGCTTCTCGGGTAGTCGACTAATCTCTCACATCCGTAGGCTGGACTTCTGATTAGTCAAATATTTTGACATGAGCACCACAGTTCAAACATCACCCAGAAAATGTCAGCTAAAACTTAATATTTACCTGAATATTTTTGGAGCAGTGTGGGGAAAATTAATTGCTCCTATGTCCAAATGACTTATTGGATTTAAAGTTTTATTGTATTTTTAGGTAGCAATATAATATAGAAAAAGTGGTGATGGGGGAGGAGGTGAAGAAGTGAAGGAAGACAGAAATGGAGTCTAGGATAGTCATAAGACTTGATATTTCTAAATGACCAAAAACGTGACTGTTTCACTCCCTGGCAGCATATTTCAATGATATTGCAGTGGGTGCAGTGTGCTGCAGAGTGGATCACTCTCAGAACCAGAAGAGACTTTATATCATGACACTTGGATGCCTGGCACCATACCGAAGGCTAGGAATAGGTAAGACTGTCTGCATTTTGATCTGTGTCATCAGAGAAACATGAGTCCTAGGCAGCCTTCTGAACACCATTCCAAAATTTCATTTCCTTTGATACGCCAGGACTTAATGGTTTATTAGATTTCTCCCTTAATTTAATATATTAAAAAATACTAAAGCAAAGAGTGGTGAAAAGACTTGCCTTAGTGTCACATGCTATGTCAGTGGTACGTGTAGAAATATAACCCAGGTTTCCTGACTCTTAAGTCCCTGCTCTTCCTACTGGGCAATAATCCTTTCATTCACCATGTGGCTTAGTTTTCCATCATAATAAGTTTAACTCTCCATGTTTGAGGAGAGCTGCTATTTTCCTGTCTATGTCATGGTGTATAAAAGGATTTACTACCTGCTTCTCAGGTAATGTAAATGATAATACTGTCAATGCTATTACTTAAACATAATCACATACTTTGTTCACTTTAAGGCCCTTGTAGCTTGCTTCTGAAAAAGGTTCTCATCGGTGTCAGTGATACCACACAATTACTTATAAGGATTGCTAGACTGTAAGTTTTTCTGATGGTTTGAAAAACATTAAGGCATTTTCTTAAAAGAAATTATAAAGAATCAGACTTTGCGAACAAAGAAGGGAAGACAGGTTTAAAATTTGCCTTATTTACCTTAATTTCATTTGCTTAAACTTGCTGCATCAGTTCCCCTGTGGGGAAAATCCATCAACAGATGTTGGGACTTAATTCATAAATATGTAAGATGGTTTGAAATCTTTCATTAAGGGGTTTACAGAAGGGGAGACTATTATATTTGACAGTCTTTTCTGTTCCAGGTATCTTTGCTGATCTTCTGACATGAGCTCTCTCTTCTTTTTAATGTCATCTTTTGCACAGAGTCCTCCTTGTGACTCAAATATATAAGGTTCCCTGAGGCCTTTGGATTTGGGCAATGTAATTTTAAGTTACATTTATATACACTGTATAAACTTTAATGTTCACAGCAGCCCCAAATAACGTTTAAAAATGAACTACAATTTCAAAGTACAATAGCAATGCTTTTAGCACTTGCCTTAGTAATATGTCCTATGAACTCACTAAAAGGAACACTTCCTTGCTCAGGGAATTGAAGAGTTACAGAGCGGACTGCAAAAATTAAACTTATTTGGTTGCACATATGTGGAGTGATTAAGTGTCTCTTTATTCCTTGGCAGGAACTAAAATGTTGAATCACGTCTTAAACATCTGTGAGAAAGATGGCACTTTTGACAACATCTATCTGTAAGTAAACGACACTCTTCCAAACCTAGGAGAGCAAAAGGCTCCACAGGGAAGTAAGCAGGATGTACCGTATTCCCTACTCTAAGTAGAGGAGAGAGTTCAGTATAGGATTTGTAGTATCACAAGTGGTAAATGTCTTTAATGATACCCAGTCCACATATGTACATTATACCAGATCACTAGAAAATGTGCTTTCAATCCTCTTCTTCAGAGCAGTTGACATTATCTTCAGCCTTCAGGACTGTTGAAGACCCTAGAGTGTGGCATATTTAACAAGCTAATATCTCATAGTGGGTTGGTCTGTCTCCAGGTGCTATAACACAAAGTGCCAACCACAGCTAAAGGTCTGGCCTTGTCTGTGTGGATTGGGTCAAGGCACATGTAAATACCATCAGAAACTCTTGTGGAGTGATGATTATCATTTATAAGGCTTATTTTGCTGTAGTGTTCAGAGTGTGTTACTGAAGGAAGCTACAGAATCAAACTGCAGTAGCGTTTCCAGTAAAACTAGGTTGTATTGTTACATTTCATAAAATATCTGCTGCTTCCATTCCAAGGCAGGTTGATAATGTTAAACTTAGCATGTAAAGTGCTGAGCACTGTGGCAGCAGAGCTCCACACGGCACTGGGCCCCAGCTGGGCTCCACACAGTGCTTGGCCCTGGCCAAGTGCTGCAGCTGCGCTTAACTGGGTCCGGTGCCACGGCGCTCAGCTGGAGCCAAATGCCATTTGGAGCCTGGCTGCCATGGCACTCAAACAGAGCCTGGCATGCTGTGGACTCTGCACAGCCCTCCCACTGCACAGGGAAGTAGGGCTAGGTGAGGGGAGCAGGGCAGGTATGGGAGCTCTGGGAGTAGAGGGCTCTAAGAGGCAGGGGGCTGACACTGGGGGGGGACTGTGATATCTAGAATGAGGAGCTGGCACTGGGGAGCTCAGGGGGTGGGGCTGGCACTGGGGACAGGGCTAATATTGGGGACTGGGGGTTGGCATGGGGGAACCGGACTGGGGAACTTTATTGCACAGACTGGCAAACCCATTTGTAAACTTTTGGCAGACCAGTGACAGTTTGTTTGCATATTTGAATATTCATTGGCATAGTGAATATACAAATAAAATGTTGCCAGTGTGCCAGAAGTTTGTGAATGGGTTTGCCAGTCCCCAGTATAAAAAAACGTTGATCCACACAACAATGCTCTCAAGAGGTACTAGATTTATTTTATAGATGAGGAAATAGACAGAGAGCTGAGGTGATTAACCAAAACTCACAAAGAAAATCAGTGTTAGCACAGGATTAATGTCAGCAGTTCCTAATTCTCAATTCTGTGCTCTCTTACGGCATGATACCTAGCTCTATCAAGAGCATTACCTCCCATACCTCAATCGTATTCTGTGTCCCTTGGTATACAATTTCCTGGGTGTGTAAACTACATTATATACTACAGAAAATGTTGATGTCTTTTTTCCTGTATCTTTCTATGTGCCCCAGACATGTCCAGATCAGCAACGAGTCAGCAATTGATTTCTACAGAAAGTTTGGTTTTGAGATCATTGAGACGAAGAAAAACTATTACAAGAGGATAGAGCCAGCAGATGCTCATGTCCTGCAGAAAAACCTCAAAGCCCTTTGTCTTGGCCAGAACGCAGATGTGCAAAAGACCGACAACTGAACAAAACCCCTATGAACACTTTCTTGCACTTGCTTGTCGCCAAATAAGGAAAGAGAGGCCCATTGATTTCCCTCCCCCCATTCTTTTCATCATTTTTTTTCCTTGCCTTCTCCAACAAAATGTAATGCTTTTTTCCAAGGATTGTCCAATCATGTTTGGGTTTTTTCGCTCTCCTTTCTGTTCAACAACATGGGAAGTGGTGTAAAGATCTCCTTATTTTGTGGTGTGGAGGGTTTGGGTAGGATTTCCTGAGGTCAGGATTCCTTCAGAGAGTGATTTCTCTCATGCTTTCACACTGATAGGTATGGCCTAAAAAGATCTATGTAATGAAAGGAAAAGCAATATCTTATCCTTTTTGAGTTCTGTAATACCAGTTTGGTTTTTATAGCCCCTGAAATATGTGTGAACTTTGTTTTGGCAATTCTATTGTCCCTTGTCCCTTTTCTTCATCAAATCCTCCCCCCCCCCCCCCCCCCCATGTTTAATCTTTTCAAATATTTTTGTTTGACTTTTTATCCCTCTCTTGCTAACAGAGCAGGCTGGTTTATCAGCACATTTATTGTGCCTGGGCTGAAAGTTATCCCTCCAGCTGGTGCTACATTCCTTGATTGACCTAAGAAAGGATTCAGAATGGGTTTTAGTTTCTTCCTTTTCAGTTACCATCACCATTCATCCTACCCCATCCCCACCAGACTCTTGCCAAGCTAAGAGCAAAATCTAATGTTAGCAAGAAGAGCCTTGCAAAAACATGTATCCTGAGGTGAGGTCCTTGTTTTAAGAGCAAGTGAAACTCTCCAGGACTCAGCTGTCCATAAGGGACAGTTGATTTCATCCAGACTACTGGAATGGGAGAAGGGACTTGGAAGCATCATGTCCACTTCGGTTCTAAGGCAAGTGCCTGTGCCCACATGTTTGTTTGGTGCTAGGGCCGTCAAACCTGTGGTAACAAAGAAACATGGGATTGGAGCAAGGGGGGAGGAACCAGGCAGTGAGACTGAGAGTCCTAACTCTAATCAAATAGTATTGCCAGGGATCTCTCAAATGGCTTGGGCTCCACTTGACTTGCTGATTTTTATATGCTCTGTGGGTAGGAAGGTATTAAGAACTGTTCTTTAAACTCTGAAGATTTTTCTCCAACTTGCCAGTGATGCAGTTCTCTGTGAAGTGCTTCATGGAGCACCAGAGAAAGCGGTTCATACTGGAATATTTTGTGGAATTTGGAAAATAGGCTGGCTGCTGGCTTCTTCCTAATACTGTAACACAAAAATTACAGTAAACTTTTTACTGATCTCTGCTTTGCATCCTTTCATGCTTCATTTGCGTGAGTTTCAGTGCTACCTTGGACACACTGTTGCCAGCAGTTACATACCAACCTGTCCTAAGAGATTCCTCCAAGGCTCTGGGAAATGCACTGACTTGAAACTGACCCTCCTTACCCCATCACCCAGTCTGAGATTAAACTGCTTTCCTTTGCCATTAGTTTTCATTAAAATTCAGCTGCCTGTTGAACCCATTGGCTTCAAAAGCCTCCAACCCATGGTGCATATAGCAGTATATTTCTTGTGATGAGCAGGTGCTCTTGCTCTGAGGCTGACTTGGGAACAAAGGATTTTGATGGTGGAGGTGTGGGAAAAATTGAGAATAAGGCAGGAAAAGATCTCTCACCTCCATCTTATGCAGACTAGTTGCCTGATATCAGAAATAGGCAACCCCAGAACCATCACTATGAGGTGCACAGAGGTTACTGAAGTGTAGCTTTTTGAATACATTGATGAGCCTGAACTGTGTAGTTGCTCATCAGTTTCTGGGTTTATATTAGGTGGTAGAACTCCGTTTGGCTTGTAAAAGCCTGTCTGTACTGGCCAGGGGAACAGTGTTCATCTCACCCTCCAGTGGATTCTAGCTAGAAAAGTGCTGACAGTATTTCCTTGGCCACAGATTATCCCGTTTTGTAAAAACTTTATAGCCTAGGTAGGCCCTGTCTGCAGTGACTTTGGGAGGCAGTTTCAGCACCTTTCTAGCAAGAATAATGTTGAAGCACAATTAGCTCCTCAGATGCCAACATGGTTATCTTGGACACGTGTAGACAGAACTAAAAGGTATCCGTGGAGGGAGAGAATATTGCATTGGAGAATGTTCATGCAGCACAGCTATAGTTCAGACCATAGCTGTTTTTTGTGCCAAGCCAAGTGCTCTTGATTCTTCTAGAATTAAGTGATAAGTGTTTGGGTTGGGGAAATGAGTATAGGGGTAAACATTTTAAGACTTGCTGTTGTTGTAGGCTTCCATAAATCAATTTTGCAGGCAGTTTTCCTGCAGATTTCAAAAGCATAAATGAGTCTGGTGTCTGGACTTGCTTGGTTTGTCCCTGTCCCTTTTTGCTTTGGGCTGCCATCATTCTATGAATGTACCTCTCAAAATAATTCTTAGAACTCCCATTCCACAGCATACTGGCCTCACTAGCTTCTAACTGCATATTTTATAGGAAGTGGAAGGGAGAGAAACCAGAAATCAAGGCTTCTTTTCTCAAACTATTACTCATGGAAAACGGTTTTTTTGTATTCTTAAGCACACACAAGTGTTAATCTAAAACCTCTTCAAAAGCTGCACCCCATAAATGTAAAAATGAAGGGCAATAGTTTTTACTACCAAATGGTTGTATTAATCTTGGTGTACTCAGACTGCTGGGTATGGAGAGGAGAATTTAGTGCTGGCAGTCGGACATACTGGGATAGTATTGAGTATGAGTTTGCAGTACATTTCTGTTGCATCAAATGTTACTGCAGCAGGGCCTGCCATTAGCTTGAAAATAATAGCATATGCACAACTGTTAAAGTTAGGAGTGTCTATGAAATGATCACCTGCACTATTCTTCTGGATGGAAGAGCTTGCAGGAAAAACTTGTGATTAACAAATTGATCCTGGTGGAGGCAGTGTACATCTGAGTTGCTCTTTATCTACTGTATAAAAATTTATCATCCATCAGTTGAACCTTGAAGATAATGTCTGTCATAGAGACATTCACTACCAGGAAACTATAATATATGGGCAAGGGAAAAGAAATACCCAGAAGGATGTCCCTCATGGGGGAGGGAAAGCTTGGGGAGGGGGTGTTGTATACACAAATGGGCTGGGTTTACATGGTGCAGTTAATAGTTAAGTCTGCCAACTGAACATGACATGCTGTTACAGCTAAAACAAGTGATATTTTGTTGATTCTTGATGGTGCCCTGTGATGTCTAGTAAATTTGAACCAAAAAAACCCATTGTTATAGTCTCCTCCCCTGTGCTGTGATCCAGGGTCAGCAACTATGCTAACTTGGATGTTTCTTTGGAATCTGCAACTGCCTCATACTGAACATGGCTAAGAATGCCCCTGTCTCTTAGTTAGGACTTTGCCTGAATGTGCAGGTGCACTGTGCAGCTTTACAGATGCATCGTTAATATTACAACTTTCAAATTGCGGGGGTAATCAAATTCTTTCCAAATAAGACAGTCCATTTTTTAATCTAGATCATTGCCCTTGTACATCAGGAGCATGTTTTGTTTTTCTCAAACTCTTGAAAGTAAAACTTTTAAATACTGTTCAGAATAAACGTGCACTATTGGAGTTATGTCATATATGAGTTGTGTTGTGCATTTCTTGCAACTTAGCTTTGTTTTCCCTCACTCCTTGGTCTGTCTAAAATCAGGTGGGGGGGGGGGATTAATGAGGTACTTCACAGGCCCTGCAGTTTTCTTGTCCTGTTGATCTTCAACAGGCTGAGCAGCATGAACTGGTATGGATCAGGTATTGTGGTGGTTGCTGTGTGTAAGTGACTATTGGGGAAGTGATATGCCCAAAATCAAGGGCCACTCTGAAGTCACCTGCCTTTTGTGGGGAAAGAGCAATTGTGGACACTTCAGCTGATCATCTTCTGCAGTATTGCACAAGAAGAGGGGCATAAACCCAAAATATGTTAAGCTTTGTAGATTAAAAACCACTGAGCTGTTTCTGGAAAATGATTGCCAGCCATTGCAGACCATGTGAGAAATGCTATATGAGCTGGCAACTGTATTCTATACTTGTAGAAGTAAGTTGCCTTGGGATACAGCGAGCACTATGAATCTGTCTTGAAGGTGATTTAGTAGGGCAACATATCAAAGAAGAGGTCACAGTCCTCATGCCTCATCTAGTTGCTAGAACTGGTCGGCAGTGTTTTGATAAAACACTGTTTTGCTGAAAATTGCCAAACCAAAACTGTTAGTATGAACCTAAATTTCCAAGCTTGAAAAGTGTTCAGAAGGTTTTACTATTATCAAAAGATCTTGTTTTACCACTTTCTAAATGAAAAAATTCAATACTTGATTTATATCATGGGACTTCTGTTCACAGCCACTGTCATCTCACAAAATACCTGCTCCCCAATTACTGGTCTTTGTTTCTGGTTCTCTAGTGTGGTATGCCAGGCTGCTGTAAGCAATTCGAGTGTGGTAGCTGAGCTACTCGAGCATAGTTTGTATTAAAGCTGCATCAGATTTGGAGCTTAGAGCTCTGGTCACACTAGCGGCTGTAGAAGTTGGCAAATATATGCTGCAAACTGCTGCTGTCACCTCAAGCTCCTTAGCTGTGCTAACCCAGGTCCAGAAAGAAGGCAGGGAGCTAGGGGTGGCTGCTCACTGTCATTCAAAACATAGCACAGTTGAGGGGGTATATATCTTAGACAGGCCTCAACTTCATAAAATAAATGAAAAGAAAGGAACTGGCATCTGAAGCTACATTATTTTGCTGTAAACTACAGACCATCCACCTAGACTGTAACCTATGAGATGGTCAGCCATAGGAATTAGGAGAGCACAGGAGAATCTGAATTATGGTCTTGTCTGTTGACTGCCTCTATCTCTGTGCTGTCACACCCTTTATTGCTGACTGGGTCCTTTTACCTAGAGCCCTGCCTGGATAGAAAGATGTGGTGCTGTATCATCAAGAACCAACTTGTACAGATCAGATACTGTCTTTTCTGTATTAGCATGCTACTGTGAATGGGGGCAATCACGTGATGCCTCTCAGGAGGCACATGTGTGTACTGTACACAGGGGTGACCAAACCTTGGTTTTTTGAGCTCTGTTACCTCTCCCCCTACTCCATCTGGAAGGCAGAGAACTGTGGCGGGTCCTCAGCTCTGGTGGGAGGGACCTGCCATGACTCAAGGCTGCAGCAGGAGCAGGGTTGAAGCCCAGCCAGAGTACTTCTCCCTTTGCAGGGCAGAAGCCCCACATCCCACTGCCTTGCCACAGAGCATAGGGCCAGAGATCCAGGTGGTGTGATTATTGTATGTCTCAGAGGGTCCGTAAACTTGACCACACCTAGTATACAGGATCTCAAAGGTGGGGAAAGAACAGTCTGTAGCTCATAGCCTGAGAATCTAAAAGGTGGGGAAGCAACCTTATAGTCTGAGCTACAGCCAGCTGCTTTTTTATCTATGCCACCACCTTTCTCTGCATATCAGAGGTGGAACCTCTGCACGGTGCCAGGTCCTGTAGGGGATGTCTCTTTCCACAGTAAGCCATGGGGCTTTGCTGCCTTACACAGGACAGCACACCTGCTTCACACGGTTAATTCTGTTCACTGAATCTGGGACAGACCCCTGATGGAGATATGCATGCTTTTAGGTAAAGCCTAGTCCAGTCTGGTTAGCTCAGAGCCTAGCCAAGCTGTAGTGAACCCTCTATTGCTCAAGCTCTAGTCATTCCATGTGACCTGTCATATTCCCAGGGTTTTTCTACAGTGGCAATTAAGTGACCTTTGTTGTGAATGGCTTACCCACTCCCTACTGAGCATCTTTGCTGTGGTAAGTGCTAGTGCAAACAGTGCTTTGTCCTCTGGACTGCTCTTCTGTTGACAAAGCAAACCCTGCTTGTGAGGGCTGGGAGTTTGTCTGCAAAAGTGGCAATAAACTGTTTACAGCACCTGACACTTTAGCAACACAACCCTGTCACTAAAAGCTGTCTAGTGTGGACAAAGACTAGGTAAACCCTAAATGCTTCCTCTAGCCCACACCAGCACTTGCTGCCCTACACCTCTGTCTTTTGGTCTCCAACTTGAGCTTGGGAAAGCTCAGCTGCCTGCAGAAAGGAGGGACCATGGTCACTGTTTGCTACTCAGTGACTGTACAGTTGGATCTGCCATTGGATTCCCAAAAGCTTTACTGACATTGGAGCTATGACTAGAGCCTTATGCCATACAAAATTCATATCCACATCTGATGTGATCCTCAAACATGGTCTGTCAATATAAAATGGACATCCACAGATTTGCAGTGCTCGACACATGCCCTTGCCAGCTAGATACTATTCACATCTGTATCTTAGCTTGCCTAGATGGCAAATAGTCCTTTTCCACACACCATGTAGTAATAGGACAAATTGAGACCTACATGGGCAGGGAGATTCCCTTACAGGCTGCATTTTCATGG